AATATGCATGCTCCACTCCTAGAATAAAGTTAAACAAGTTACCAAAAACTACGTTTCAAGTGATTTATCAAAAAGCATGATTTATTCAAAACATAAAAATGGAACAAACTAAGTAAGTGCAAATCAGTAGGAAGAATTTATACAGGTACTGCCAGCCATCAAAAAAATTAAATGACTGCACAATGCCACTGAAAAGATGTCATAATTTCATATACAGTAACTAACTTTAGTGGTAAGAATTTGGATAATTCTAAGGAAAAGAAAACTTTTATGCCCATCTATATGGTGGTAACATACAAAGTACACATTCTTTATCAAATCAGATAAAACAACAGCTATTTTTAAAGTATAACTGCTACTTCTAAGATGTATTTTTTGTTGTTGTTATTTTCTCATTTCCTATTAACAAAGTCAAGAGTTAAGACAGTCCCTCGTAAAATCATAAGCTCCTGTTTGCTCTGAAGGCTCTTACCTCCTTATTTGCCAGCACCAACTGCACGTCTGTCTCAACACCTACTTCAGATCCCAGTTCAGCGGAATCTTGCCTGCATATCCCCAGCCAGGCCAAATGCTCCTATATAACTCTCTAGACATGTATGCATGAGTCTACTTCCTTCATATATTTGATGAATATCTACTTCATGTCTCTTGAAAATGTGTCCACTTTTTTTATTACCACACCATTCCAGAACTAACCAGAGCCTTGGACAGAGAAAGATTGTTCAGTGAGTAATTTGTTTGATGTCCTGGATTCGACATTCTTCCTTGAACTTGACTGATATATCCAGTTGCCACTCAACATCTCAGAGCTCTGTCAGCTAAACTCACCAAGCCAAGGTCAAAATATTTATATTCTCCCCTTCCTCCCACTCAACCTCCCCCTATACTAGTGTGTTCACTATCTCTGTAAACTATACAACCCAGTGGCTCAATCCAAAAAGGAATTTTTTTTTTCTTTGTGGTGTTGGTTTGAACTCAAGGTCTCACACTTTAGGCAGTTAATCTACCACTTGAGTCACTCCACCAACCCAAGTCAAAAATATTTTGATGACACCTTATTTATACCTAATACACAAGCCATCAGCAAATCCAGTCAGCTTACATTCCAAACATATCCCAATGAGACCTCTTTTCTTCTGCCTTTACAATCACCATCCTATTTATTCCAAGAACACCCTCCTCTATCATTTGCAGCTTCCGACTGTCCTCCTCCTTCTCTATTCCCCTGCAGTCTTTTTTCCAACAAGCGAGCTAGGTTCTCAGATGCCAGTATATATGTCACATCCTCTCCTGGTGAAAATCCTTTAAACAGCACTTGGCTCTTGGCACTAAGCTTCTGGTTTCCTCTTCTGGCCTAATTTGCTACCACTTCTCTGCTCTATTTCTGTACTGTAGCCACACTACTCTCACCTGATCCTAAAATAATGCCAATCTTGGCTAGGCATGGTGGCTCAAACATGTAATCCTAGCTATCAAGAGGACCTCGTTCTATGGCCAGCATGGGAAATGCTTGCAAACCCCCTCTCAATCAATGATATGGACAGTGATGATATGCCTATCATCTCAGATATGTGGGGAGAGCACAAACAGGAAGCCCTCAGTCCATGTCAACCCAGGCAGAAAATGAGACCCTATCTCAAAAAAAAAAAAAAAAAATGCAAAAAAGGCTTGTGGAGTGGCTCAAGAAGTAGAGCACCTGAAAAGCAGCGCAAGGCCTGAGTATAACCCCAGTACCACAAAAAAAAAAAAGAAAGCCAATCTTACTTCCCACTTAAATGAGTAATCTCACTCATAACTAAAAATTACTACAGGCTCACCTATCACTTCCCATGTGGTCTCCTCATCCTATCTAGAGTCCTTGCAGGTCACCCTAACTAAATAACAACCCTTGTTACTCACTAGCCCCTTGCTCTGGTGTTCTTCATACAATGTGATAATAAGTACCTTAAGTACTTATTATGTTTTATATCTGTTCACTGTTTCTCCAGTTAGAAAACAAAATCCATAAAGGCAAGACATTACTATTTAGTGCCATACCCTTAATGCCTAGAATAGAGCTGAGTACATGTAGGGACTAAGCACATAAACAAAATCCAGAATGCCTGGGCTTAGATAACTTTGCACAGCACATGATTCTGTCTTCTCCTTCCAAGGCAAGCAGTATTCTGCCTAGACGTCATCAAAATGGTAGCAATGTTTCAGGAAACAATCCAGAGGACTTAACAATATCCTTACCTCAGTTTTAAAACACATAAGTACTCAAAAACTCAAAGCAATTAGACCACTTGCAGCAAAGCATTTTCTTCTGAGTTTGAATTAATAAAAACCCTAAAACATACATTTACAAACATGCCTTTGACAGATGACAATACAGGACCAGAGAAAACTGCCGACTTATCCAAAATTCGTGCAGCTTTGCTGTGGAGCTAGGAAACCATGATCATTACCTCCACTGTCAATGAATTAAAAAAAAAAAAAAAAAAAAAAAAAAGGTAGAAAAGTGAGTCTACTGATGTAGAGGTTGAGGCTTTGGTCTAGCTCAGTGATAAGAGTATGTGCTTAGCATGCACAAGGTCCAGGTTCAATCCCAACACCAAACAAGCAACCAATCCTGATGTGGAGAGATCTATACTAGCTTGTCATCACTGTGAGTGAAACAGCAGGGAAACAGCCCAGCACAACACAATGGAAGTGGCACTCACAGGAGTAGACACATACCCTTGCCAGGCCCCAGTTGGGAGAGCCCACTCCCTCTTTTGTACGAGAAAGGATGTCTCTGACTCGAGGGCAGCCAGTGGATCCTTTCTCTTTCCCCTTATCAGCCAAGGCAGTAGGACTGAAGGTTCAATATGAGGAAAGGCTGTCAACAAACACCAGGCACCCACAACTGGAAGTTCTGGTAGTGCTTGCAGACACAAAATAAAGAATGATCGGAGAGATATTCATACCTCAGGCTACAAAATAGAAACACAGAAGAGACAAGCTTCTTACCTCACCACCAGCCCGGCGGAGTTGCTTATTGCTTGTCCAATCATGTCATAGATTTCAAATCTGTCCAAAAGCAAACAGAACAAAACTCTCTGAGCAAGTTCAGATATTTATTAACAATGTGCAATCCTACCCAAAATAATTTAACTTGAAGAGCTAAGTAGTTTCAGGTCACTTTTCAATAACATAATTTCACTACACTTTCTGATCTTCATATGCTGCTCATTCCCACTTTTCCTTCAACTCAAATGTCACCTTCTTAGAGCAGTCCCTTCACACAAGCTTTAAAGCACCACACCCAGGCCTGTATCAGATAGTTTTTGATCTCACAATACTTCTTTCTACACACTTCTCCTATCTTGAATTATTCTTGTTCACTGTGTCTCTGAACAAAAGTACCACGAAAGTGTACTCTAATGCCTATTAGCCTAAAATATATTTGCTGAATGATGATACTAAGCTTCACAAGATGAATTGCCACCATGAAATTACAAAGTCTTTTACAAAGCCAAAGTGAAAGGATCTATGCCATCCAATGTCAAATAAAACCTGCTGAATACTTACCTCTCAAA